TATACATACATACATACACCATAATATAATTGTGCCAACAGTGGTTCAATATCTACATTTATCTTCGAAATAAATCTGGAGCTATTACAATTTTTTTGGTCAAATCATGAAAATTGTGTTCTCAACCTGTCAGTGCTTATAGTACATCTTGTGAATCACTCTCAGCTACTACCACTCCAAATATCAGTTCAGTATCTGTCAAAATGACTGCGTTCTAATCATTTTTGTGTTGGCTAAGTTTGTTCAACAGTGGCAGCCATCTTGAATTGGGTGGGCTTCAAAAGTGAACAGTTGTAGAGGTATATTTGGTGGTTACTTACTGAGAGTTTCACTAAAATGTATCCTGTGGTTTGGGAGATATTTTGCTAACAGACAGACYGCTCCCCACACACACATACACATGCTTCCAAGCTTAAGTCATCCCGCCCATTTCTCAGAAACGTAACGCTCCAGTGCCCCAGYTGTGCCTGAAGGGCACGTTTACCCGGCCCGCATGAATATCAGTCAGGCTACCACRTCTCAGCTCCTGATCTGCTTCAGGGGCCCCTGGCTGGCTCCGGGGTCTGAGGGCCCAGACCCAGCGGAATACCTCCGCACCAGGGTGGCCCCCGCTCCCTTCACACATGCCCAGTGGGCTAAACCCGTAATGATGGGTTTCATCTTCAAAGGGTTACCTCTCCAAAGACGATGTTGGCTCATAATTGTAGGAGCTGTGGGTCGATTTAATCCTCCTGCCTTCATAGGACTAAAAACACCAGAGGAGCGTCTCACATCAGCTGGAATGAGAAGCAACGGACATTTTAAACGTTTTGCTGGGAGAAGTGAGACAACGAAACTAAAATCAAAGTTGTTTATTTCAAACAGCTGTCTGCAGCTTTGAACCGTGAAGCTTTTGTCAATAAGCTGCAGTCGTGTATCACTGCCAGAAAACTTTAAGTTACCTCAAAATCTTTTTCTGCATGAAAATGACTGCACTAMTGTGGCCACACATTAACTAAGTCATGGCCACGAGTTATTATCAGCAAAAATCTCAGCTCCTATTAGCAGGTAAAATCGATTACATCTGTTAAATTCACTTAAAGAATGTGTCAAAGTGAAGGCCCACGGGCCAAATTTGTCTGACTAAAGCATTTTATGGGGCCCTTGAGATTTGCTGCTTTAAAGCCAGCATTGACCATAAACTACATCTCCCATTTTGCATGTCAATTGTTTTACCTGCAAAACGATGGCATCCCATCAATAGGTGTAGGTGCACAGGGTTCAAAAGTAGCTGGGATAATTTGTTGTGTAAAATCTCCCATTTCACTGCATTTTCTGCAGCTACTTTTGGCCCACTTGTACTGGGAAGTG